ATGCCAATTAATGTCTTTTAAATTGTCAAATATATTATAACGAAAGATATTAATGATGGTGAAATTATGCTACCTTTGCAAAATGTCCAGTGTTTGCAAAATATCCAGTGTTGGTAAATCTAAAACTTAGACACTGTTTTTGTTAACTAAAATAAATCTGAAATAAAGCTTAAAAATTAAGTACTAAAAGTAGTGAAATTACTACTTTAAAAAAAAAATAATAATAACATTAAAATATTAAAATAATAATGAATAATAATAAATATTAAAATAAGTATTAAAAATAATAAATAATTAATAATTGCCTACTAAAATAGCAGTGTTAATACTGCTAACTGATTACACAGCTATATTGGCACTGCTACAAAAACGATAACCAGAAATGCTCCCAGCAGGTACACAACGTCATAAGATCTTGGCACTTGGTTAAATTTCGGTTGCAACTTCGGGTGACCAAAATTCAATGTCTAATGTCGATGTTAATTTGATGTCCAATACCGATGTCAGCTGATATTGATATTTGTTGTTTTTAGGTTGTGCAACCAAAATCTGTCCGTTAAGTCAGCGTCAAATTGGCATCAAATACTGACGTCAACCTAATTTTCATCCTCAACCAAAATGCAACATCTGTCCGACGTCATATCCAACGTCAGCCTGGCGTTATACTGACATGCTGTGCCTGCTGGGCTATGTCACCAAGAAAATTGTGTTTCGATAATATGATATACCTTTTTCAACGTGTATTCTGCAAGGAGGAAGAAAGATAATTTTATTTGACAAAAAAAATCTACATGTTAATGCGTACATTAACATATAGATGGCCTCAAAGCTAACACATGCAGACTAATAGCTACAGAACCCAAATTTAGATTTCATAAGGTTCTAAAGTTAAAAGCCATTACACAAAAATATGGCTACTAATTAATCAGACATGGTGTTCCATTGAAAATATATAAATAAATAAAAACACTCGTATAATGAAAGCTTGCCACCATGTTGGCCAGACTCCAGTTCGTGGGCATGAGCATGTGGCAGAGAGACTGTATCTCTGAAACAACACTGTTGTTGTTTTAACTGATGACAGGGCTTTGAATGCATTCAGAATGCACTGTGAATATTTTGTGCCAATAAAACCACAACTCTGATTTATACATGGCAAGATGGCATTTAATTGCACTGAACATTTTTTGATCTCGATTAAAATCCACATGGGTTTTAGAGTGTTCAATTGAAAATCCTTTAATCATGATCAGCATGACAGCCAAGTTCAATCCAAATTCAATCCATACTAAATTAATCCAGCACTGGCAGTAACTAGTACACATAGCGATGACACAAACTTAACTAGTTTTCAGTAGCGTGACAGAAGCACAGCTCGTTTCATAATAGTGCTGCTTTTCCAATATCCAACATGTACCAGTGTAATGTGACAAGATAATCATCAAATGTGCGGTTCTAAATTGTTGTCTCTCTACTGAGCTCCAGGCTTTAGGGCTTCTGGGTTGTAAAAGTGTTTGCCACGGCTCAAAGTTCACAAACCCGAGTCACCCAAGAAGCAACCAAACAATACTGCAAATTGTTTGTATTCAAAAGCAT